CTGGATTAATTAGTGGTAGAAATCTGTACTCTAATTGCAACGATTCACCCCTCCCTATGCGGGCTCCCACCTTCCGAGAAATGTGTAGATGTATGAGCCTTTTGATGGCCCATCACAAACTCCATCATTCGTTCACAATCCTCTTTGGATCTTTTTTCTCATCCCATCGGTGTTTTTTTTTTCACCATATATCCGGAAGCTGAACTAGAATTCTATGTATTGGACTTCCCTATTTCTAAAGTACAATTTATTGTATCATGCGATTCTACATACCCATATAAGAAGATCCCAGTCATTGGACTCCATGCTGGTTTGTTCATTTTGATCAACAAGAAGTCGTCTATAATTTACATAAAAACACTCCTCGGGTTAAAATATACTTATCTAAAGAGATTCAGTGATATTGAATCGAAGAATCATTCGCGGAACCAGTCATTGTTGTAGTTGTTACATTTCCAGAGTCATGGTTTTCGGTTATATTTGGGAAATTTGCAATGAGCTGATCAATGACGAAGATGGTCACTTGGGAACCGAGAATCGTGGGGTATTGTGAGTGTGTAGCTGTGGAGGGGGTGAGGGGAGGTAAAGGAGCATTGGCCATGGGAAGTGCATTCAAATGGGATCGTTGTGGCGCTGGACTAATTGGGATACCGGGTCCCATTGTGTTCGCGAGCTGTGACGGAGAGGAACCTGGAAATAGTACATGGTGACTATCCATATTACCTGGCCCACCATGTCTTACGAAGGGTTCTTCTTGCCTGGATTGGAGCGCGGTAGAGGCTGAATGTTGTATCCGCCCCTGGTTCCTCTGTATTTGATTCAAGTGACCTTCGAAGCTCATCATGTCTCCAAGCTATAAATATTGTTCAATTACTGAAGTGTATATGAAGAATAGCACGTCGTACACCCAAAATTGATAGCTGTTGCCGAAGGGTTCCTCGATACCCCGCCACTTTTATTTGGTCTGACCTCTGCCTCCATAGACGCTGGAAGTAGCTCTGTGAAAGTTTACGCTCGAAGAATTTCTCAATCGAGAGGATGGTGCTGAAGGTTTGAAAAATAAGTCATAATATGGAGAAATAGTTTCCAAATAGCGCGCCTGATAACCAACGGAACAAAGTCTTGATCCGGGCGGGGAATGCATAGGAGGCTCAACGCTATCCCATTCACCGCATCGGAGGCCAACCGCTCAAAAGCTATACAAAACTTATGGGACTTGAGACTCTGGGCTTAGGATAAGATAACATCACAGGTTAATCGGTGGAACAGCATTAGCATACTTGGGAAAGTTCATGGACATGGAGAGTTCGATTGGCCAATTCTGCCTCAGGGGAATCTGATCCATGTTTTGCGGCATGTAAAGCTATGAAAGCAGAGTTGGACATAATGGATAAGGATGCATCCATTTGGTGGTGGGAGGGCGGGTTAAAAGGCAACTACCCCAACCACCGGAGGCCGTCGCCCAAACGGAACGAGGAACGGAACAAACATGTTTTCGCGGTTCTATCCCAGATGCCCACCATGGCCGAACTGATAGAACACTTTGTCAGCACCGACGCCTTCGGCATTTTTAATACTTGTTGACGATGATGTAGCGAGTCACACCGGGAAGTACAAGTTTTTAGGTGGGCCGAAAACCTCAGAAAAATCCTAAAATTCAGTCGGAGTTTCAGTCAGACCGAAATCAAAATTTAAATTTGTATTTTTGGTAGAACAGAAATGGTTCTAGATAACTTGAGATTAATTATTTTTATTAAACTGACTGAAAACAATAAGTAAATGCTAGATTTCAGGAATGCTGAAATGTGTGACAATTTCAGGGACAATTACAGTGTCCCCGAAAACAATTATATAATCGATGTTTTCGGAGCACCCGAATTCCCGGCATTTAAGTGTGCCTGAAAGTTTGATGTTGGCAGGTGGACCATGGTTTCAGACACACCGAAATGCCTTTTCCATCATGGAAGCGATTAATTCTCAAGTCACGGGCTGGGAATAGGACACCTCTGGATGATATCACTAAACCAATCCTGGAATCGGGATGCAATATTGAGGTTCTTCATATTCGGCCTTACATTCGTCCTATATACGTACTTCCTACTTTGCTATGTTTCATAATCGTTTGATGGCTTCAGATCATAAGGAACAAATTCCTCGACCCGTGTATAGTTTTCTCGATGAGGGGCCAATTCCAAGAGTTCTCTATCACCGAGTTCTTCTATTATTTTCTTTTCCTCCTCGCTTGCATTCGTTTCCAGGTATTTCTCCAATTGATGATCATAAATTATAAGTTGAGTCTTGAAATGGCGGTCAGCAGGATCGTCCACCGTGGCCCAGTGTATTCCGATTGTTTCTGATGTCACAGGAACCCGAAGCGTCTGTAAATTTGGCAAAAGATCCCCTGAAGATATCAAACGGAGCGTTGACTCTGAAATCGTCAGAAGTTCCAGGGCAACTATTTTTGGAATTGACAAGAGGTATGAGTTGAAGTCGTAGTTATCGGGGAGAGGAAGGGTGAAAGCGAAGATATTGAGCAGGGGGAAAGACGAGATCTTAGAAAGGACCGAAGTAATTCCCCAGTCCACATTATCAACTCCAGGGGCCCATGATGAAGGTGTAATCTCCAATCGATTGAGACAAGGAAGAATAAGTGGTTTGAAAAACTCTGGAAGCAACTCGGGTTGAGAACAATTGACAATAAGAGTGTTGAGGGATGGGTAGGTTATAAAGGGAATCCGATCCCGTTCTTCGGGTTCCTCATCAGCAGACACCGGGATTTGGAGGAAAACAAGGTGAGGAATTTGGTTAAGAATTCCGTGCGCTTTTATGGGTGTGAGGTCAAAGTCAATAGATATTGACAAATGAGTCAGGTGCGCGCTGGGGGAGCCTTGTTGCGTTGGTAACCAATCATAACGATTCAATTCAGCGATCACAAGAGGCGCTTTTTCGAATACCGCGCATGATATACTTTCCTCCGCCCCATCATAGCACCAAACGGATAAGAACTGGAGGACTTTGAAGTCGAGCGGTGGTAGGGAGACTAGTTTTTGAAGAGCTTGCTCGTAGAGGTTAAGCTTTAGATGTTTGATTCGATGGGCGTGAAGGACGACGAGGTTAATCAATGGTGTTTGGTCGTCCATGTTGTACTTTCGGGAATTAACTGTGAGGGAAAGTGGAGCATTGCCGCTTCGCAAAAGAGTTTCGTGAGCGACTCTAGTGACAAATTTGGGATCTGAGGTGTTGGCTACTGGAATCGATGGATCATCTTCGTATTCCACGATTATGTTTGTCCACAGTTCAGGCATTCCCGTTGCAATTTGTCGCCATTTCTTGCAGATGCCGAACAGCGCCCATGGAAGGTCGTCACTCTCAAGGTCTGGGGAGATTGTTATAGGTTTTGGGGTGGACAGCTTGAATATTTCTGAAAGTAGTTCGTTGGGAATCTTTGATACTTTGGACATAAACTGGGATTGCGTCTCGGACTTTACTTCTGTGCTAGTCACGGGTGAACTTGGCATTGTTGGATTTGTTTATCGACCTCTATTTCACCATCCTTTGTCATATACAACACCTTAAAAATGGAACATAATCTGCTTACAGTCGGTGCGTCGTTTTGGTTACTTCAACGAAAAAGGCAAAATTCACTGCAAACAAGAAGTAAGTCTTATCGTTAACGGTCGTTTTGGGTACAACAGGGAAAACGAACTTTTTCGGCACGTGAAGTCAACATACCGATGGCACGTGCAAGGCCTGGACCCAACGTTGCGTTCTGGTGAGATGGGTCTAAATTTAGCACGAAACGAAATATACAAGTATATGGAGGTAAAATATATCTTTCTTCCATCAAGCGACCCTGCACGTTCGCTTACCTAAACTCAATGCCTAAAGTGCTCTGTAGCTGAAGGAAGGGATGTACGAGGGAGTAAGTAAATTACTGGTGCTGATGTTGCATGAATAGATGGAGGACGAATCCTCCAATCATATGGCGTGGATGCGTATCCCTCCGGCGTTGGCATAGATTAGGGAGTCGTGCAGCAAAATGATCTGACAATAGGATCTCCATGCAGAAAGGAAGGTAACGGAAGAAGTGGACAAATGAGCCCATACAGATTCAGTCCCCACCACCCGAGATCCAGACAGTCTCCACATCGCTTAAAAGGGCTGCATAACATAAATAGATCAAGATGGAAGAAATGCGATTTATTATTGACTGTCATGCGTGGGTACCATGGTGAAAAGATATGAAACAGATCAATCGAAGGACTTCTTACGCCCATAACGAGCCTCGAGTTTGATATATGACGAATATCTTCGGTTTATAATTTGTGATTCTCGCGTCTATTTGTTGGGAAATCAAGAGTAAGGCGTATGAAGTGTTGATGGGGCTTGAGTTGGAACGTCATCAGGCGAGGCGTTATTAATGATATGCGGCTCCGTTTGCATACGGCTCCCACCTTGCAAGGTATTGCAACACGACACAGAGTTTTCGCTATATACTGCGAAATGGTAGGGTTTGGCTCCGGTCATGATAACAGGAACAGTGAAGAGTAGATCCTGGAGTTGCGGAAAATACCATACTCTTGGTGTGTATGGCAAGTGTCGTGAGTGGGTTTGTTCTAGCCATACCTTAGTGCCCGCTAAAAATGCTCACCATTTTCGGGATGACGGATTTTTTCCACTATTCGTGTACCGTGCTCGAGCTTTGTCTGTGACCGTTGTACCTCCTCACGATGATTGATTGGGCATGTCGTACCACCAGCGAAGGTCCAAATATACTACAGCGTTCCTGGCTCCCACTGGAACGTTTAAGGTTTGTTCTCTTGGCGAAAAAAGGCGCAAATTCCTCGATTTGCGGTGGTACCAAACTTTTCTCGAGAACTTTTCTGGAGGGTGTGATGTGCTTTTGCTGCATACCTATACTCCAAAAGGACTGTAGAAATATAACTCCCAAATGCATATCGAAAATAATGCCTAAGTATTGACTCACGGACCGGTAAAAATGAGTTGACCCAGGTTCGAACTGAGGACCTTCTGTGCAACTATGCATGGTAAGTGAATGTTAGACAGATGCGATAACCAACTACGCCATCGACCCTGTACGTTGTAAAGGAGGGTCTGAGTGTGTTCGTATATATCATGTAATTTTAGGTTGAATTTGGTGATCACCAATAAGCATAAACTTATCGAGCGACTTGAAGGGCCTTCGGTGTCTCGTGCGCCTGCAAGTAGGTAGGGTTGTACTGCAGTATCTGCAAAGGAACCCTGGAATCAATAATCCAAAGCTAATAAAACGTCTCCAATGCTCAGCACGAGGCGTGCGAACTTTAAGGGAAACCAAGGTCCGAAAGCGAGAAGAATCAAATAACACCAACGTAATCCGTACCACGCGCCTCCCACGTGTTCATTTCACATGCCATCAAAAAAAAGAAAGAAATTACGTCACTTTTCAACCAACCAAGGGCCGGAACTCACGGTTCCGAAGATCATCCATACTCAATCTAGGTCACCAGGCCATCCTCCCTTTCCCTTCTTCCTCACGACACCATATAAAAAGTTACGCTCTCTTCAACCCTCTTAACTCTAAACGATATTAGTGTCGTGGCGCAAGGTTAAAACGAAACTGCATGGTATTGATAATACATAGCCCAGGAAGACACGAACCCCGACTCGTCGCCTGATCGCAGTTGCCCAGAATCAGCGACAGCATGGTTCTTCTGTCCATGCATCTACACATGACGCTACAATCCGGTGCGCCAAGTTGCCGTTTTTACCGTGAGGGGGTCCTCATAAAGACAGTTTTCTATTGCTGGGATTCGTCCCGGATACTTGTTGTTTTTTAGTACGTCCTTCCTTACTTGTTTTTTGGGTGAATATGGAGTTGTTTAGTCGTTGAATTTGGATATATAGACTGCGATAGGTGATGCGGACTTCGATCCTGACCCAACTCCTGCTCTGTGCTGTACTCACAGCATATAGTCAGGCATTCACCCTCCGTGCGTCCTTCACTTAAATATACTCACATATCACAGAGACTAAGTCCTCATCCTGATTGGTTGTTGTATACAATATTCTACAGGATCATGGGACGATGCGTACGCACTTGCGAATACCGCAGTTGGACAGATGACGTTAGATGAGAAGATCGGAATCGTAACAGGAACGGGGCAGTTAAACGCGAACCGTACGTGTCCACCCCTTCCCGTTTAATCATGACTACTGATTCACAAAATACCCCACCATCAAATCAACTTCATACGCATCTACGCATGTCTACATACACCATCATCACATCCACACCCTCGTACACATGCCATGCATACCATACTACCTACCCTTTCGCGAAATCGCTTGAAATACAGGCCGCTGCGTGGGCGACACCACCCCCATCCCACGCCTCGGGATCCCCTCGTTTTGCTTCAACGATGGGCCAGCAGGAATGCGCCTCACCAAGGGCGTCACAGGCTTCCCTTCCGGAATAAATACTGCATCGACGTTTAGTAAACGACTTATGCGTGCGAGGGGAAAGGCAATGGGGGAGGAATTTAGGGGCAAGGGCGTCCAGTGAGTGGTTTTTTTAGGCGTTGGGTGTTGGTGTGATTGGAGAGAGAGGAGAGACAGTCGAGAGTTTGGTACGTGGATGTACATATGCTGATTTTTTGTTCGTGGTTAGTGTGTTCTTGGGTCCGGCGATGGATATCGTACGTCCCCATTTCTTGTTTCTTTCCCAGGTAAACTGTGAACCACATCTCCAGATGCGAAACCCAAAAGCAGGACGTGCTTGGGAGAGGTACGTCTCATCCCCCCACTACGTCCCTTACCCCTTCCACTCCACAGTGAACACTCACACCCCAGCACCCCAGCTTCGGCCCCGACCCTTACCTAACAGGCGAAGCCTCCTTCGAAACCATCACAGGCGTCCAAAGCGTCGGTGTCCAAGCGTGCGCGAAGCACCTCATTGCGAACAATCAGGAACACTGGCGGTATGGGCTGAGTGCGAATGTCGATGAGAGGACGTTGAGGGAGGTATATTGGGCGCCTTTTGAGAGGAGTGTTGAGGTGAGTTTTTGTTGCATTTCGTGATTTTTGTCTGCGGGTATATGTGCGTTTTTGGCGTTTTGGGTAGTTTGGGGTATCGTGTTCTAGTGTTCTCGTTTTATGATCTGCGCTCTATTTTCTACGCCGTATACCCTGCGACATGAAGCCATCTCTTGGTTCATATGTTCTGATATACTTCAATCACTTAGGCAGGCGTCGCTTCGGTAATGTGCGCATATAACCGACTCAATGGGACTTCGTCGTGTCACCAGGCAGGGTTGTTGGGTCCTAATGGGATGTTGAGGAAGGCCGGATTTAAAGGTGTGTCTTGTTGCGTTTAGAACTTTCCTTTTGTGTTTTCTTTTGTCATTGGTGTTTTGGTACTTGCTTGTTTTGGGGTTTTCATTAAAGTTTCTTGCTTTTCATACCTGTATTTTTCTTAATTATTGTATCCTATCCGAACACCTTCCCATACATACTCTAATACGCTAATCTCTCATTACTGACCAACGTTTCAGGATACGTAGTAAGTGATTGGGGCGCAACACACGACTCTGCGAGTGATAATGCGAATGCGGGGTTGGATATGGAGCAACCGGGGGATAATATAGTTATTGGTGAGTGTGATTGTACTTTCTCATAACTCGGGTTCGTGCATCTGTAAGAGGGACCGAAAACGACTATTCAGAATTGATACCAAGGTAACCTTTGAGAATCCCATTCTGACGTCATTTTTTCGGTTGGGTCGCATTGACTCATAGGTGGTGGTGTATTTGGCGGAAACCTAAAGAACGCTGTGAATAATGGGAGCGTTAGCGTTTCAGTGCGTAACTAACCCTCCTCGACCTTACCAAAGTGCGAACCCACCCAAAAAAAACACGCAGAGGCTCAATGAGATGGTCGCGCGTGTTCTGGCGCCTTGGTACCGCCTCGGCCAAGATAGCGTAAGTCCACACATTTCAATCTCCCTTGCCCCTGTCCACCAACACCAAACGTACAGGGCTACCCCGCCGTCAACTTCGACGCTCAAAAACCAGACGGGTCCGGTCCTCGGAACGAAGGCGTAGTAGTCCGGAGCGCAGCCCACACAGCTCTCGTACGAGAGATCGCCGCAGCATCTTCCGTGCTGCTCAAGAACAACCGGACGGCGACTGGGGGTGGGGCGGGTGCAGGAGCAGGGATGACTGTACGCGGGCTGCCGATAGCATTGGAAAGGATCAAGAGTGTGGCGATCGTTGGGCAGGACGCGAAGATGCCTAATAAGGCGTGTGGGGATTTGAATGAGTGTAATGATGGGACTATGTCTATTGGGTGAGTGAATTCTTATTTGGGCTCGAGTGTGGCATGCTTTGTGCCAGTGAAGGGTTGTGCGAATAGAGAAAGGTCTTACTTACACTTGTTTTGGCCTTGTGGTTAGATGGGGTTCGGGGTCAAACTCGCTCGAGTTTATAGTGCCTCCCGTTGATGCAATTACGAGCTTCGTGGGGACTGGGGCCATTATTACGAGTTCTCTGTCGAATGATTTGGATGCAGGGGTGAATGCGGCGAGGGGGAAGGATGTTGCGTTTGTATTTGCAAATGCGTGAGTTTTTCTCTACGTGCTGTACGTTTCTATAGGTGGGCGTTTTTCTAAATGTTTGTTTGCGTGTTGTCGTTGGTATAGGATGAGTGGTGAGCTTGGGTTTTATGACATTGTAGTTGGGAATCAGGGCGATAGGAACGATCTGGATCTGTGGTGGAAAGGTGGGAGCTTGGTGCGTCTCCATGCTTCTATTGTCTATTGCTTATCATCTCATTTACATACTAACATGGGTTGTAGATCGAACGTGTTGCAGCAGTATGCAATAACACAATCGTCGTCATCCATTCTGTCGGCCCCGTCTATATGCCATGGAGTGTCCACCCGAATATTACCGGGATCATATATGCCGGCGCACCAGGAGAACAGACAGGTCCTGGGCTTGTGGACGTGCTATCCGGGAAAGTCAACCCAAGTGGACGGTTGCCATTTAGCATTGCGGATGTGAGTACACTATTTGCCTTACTTTTTTTTGATCCTGGTGCGTGTGGGCGCTGATTGATGCCGTGGTTTTAGAACGAGGCTGCATATGGAACGCAGATCGTGTATAATAGTCTCGGTTTCCCAGAGGTACTTCCTGGTTTATACGCCAACTCGAATTGTCTTCACATGCAACTTCTATAGATTCCCTATACTGAAAAGCTCAACCTCGACTATCGGTACATGGATGCCCAAGGGGTCACTCCACGTTTCGAGTTCGGATTCGGACTCTCCTACACTACCTTTGCCTATTCAGCCCTCTCCACATCCGCCTCAGGGACATCACGGGTGGTCAAGTTCACCGTGACGAATACAGGTGCAATCGCAGGTACGGAGATTGCACAAGTGTACCTGGGGTATCCCACAGCGGCAGGTGAGCCGAAGAGGGTACTGAGAGGGTTTGAGGAAATTGTATTGGCGGCTGGGGTGAGTGCGAGTGTGTCGATTACGTTAGGGGAGCGGGATATGAGGTGGGTGTTTCAGGTATTGGGCTTCGGGTGGATGGTGCTAATGAGTATTTTTTTTCTTTAGCGTCTGGGATACCCCGCGCCAGGCGTGGGTTCGCCCTGCTGGGACGTTTTCAGTGTTTGTTGGGGCGTCGATTAAGGATGTAAGACTTACGGGGTCGTTTTAAGTTTTAAGCTTTATTTTGTGCGCCATTATTTGGGAAGTGGCTTTGGAATAAAATTTCCAATATTTGGTTTTACCTCTGCTCGGTTGACTTTTGAGTGTTCACATTGAGATAGCAAGAGTTCATCTTCCCCGGAATTCCTTTTTACCTCAAAACCAAGGATTTTTTACACCCTTTTTTCTAGGAAATTAGCTGCAACCCTTACGAGAATCATGTGGTGCAAATATTCACATAGGTAGAGCCTCGATTGTCATCATTGGCGTTGGATTCGCGCCTATTCTCCGCTTGGAAGCAGCTGATCATCTCTTGGCAGGTACCTTGGCTCGAGGCTCCTGTATCCTTACAGACTCCACATTATCGCCGATCTCTT